TCAAGTCCTGTGCAAAAACGCATGATCGCACGGGCCCGTCCGGTGCGTTCCAGCCTGGGTTTTTGCGTAGGATAAGTCCGGCTATGAAGCATCGACTGCTCGGGAAGTTGTGGAGTCTTAATATTTGCGGCCACTTGTAACACTGGCAATTTCTCCCCGTTTTTTTTGTTTTTCCCACTAATTTTCGGGAGCACTTTTCCAGGCAAAATGCATGAGGCTCGAGCACTTTCTCTCCTCCTTTCTGCCTTTTATCTACACCCTTACATGCAATCAGCATAAGGCGAATGCAATATTAACGAAAACGGCTACTACTCCATTGATTTCTGGGATTTTCTGAGCCTCAGCAATGCTTTCTTGAGTCTTTCAATCGATAATATTATGGTTTTTTTCTGCTACCATATTTTTTCTTCTTGCTGAAATGTGATCGCAAAAGGCGATTACAACAGAAGATTTCGGCGATGACGATAAAATGAATAGGCGGCTGCGACTTTATTGATGCATAGCGCATTTTTGGAATTCTGAGCTTCTCCCGCATTACGAGAAGTGTGATTTTAACCTGGTTTCAGAAGACTTATAGTCAGCCGTATTTCAATTTTCAGATTTTTCGTATAATGGGATGTAAAAGGAAGGAGTGCCGAAGCAACAGGTGTGAGAAGTGGAGCAGGTGTTGAAGGGAGAAGTGCTGCCGGATAAGAGAGATAATAATCACAGTCAGTATCTTACTTCTTTTGAGTTAACGCTACGAAAAACTAACTTCATAGAATTCCGGCATACTGTAGTTGACATCAAACATCTCATTTTGCAGTTGTTTGTTTTGAATGCCTGTTTTGAATAACAGTGCTGAAGCATTGTTTCGCTTCATATCGCAGTCCCTGTTGATATCATACGGATTGATACCGCTGTGGACCACTTGGGTTTTGCAGAAGGTTACCTAAACAAGTTGAGAATACCACTGCCAGCCGGACAATCATTTCCGATATTCCTGTTAGTGTTGTTACTGGGATGCTCCTACACGACGGGCGCAGCACTGCCAGGTACTTCGTTTTTGGAATGAATAACTTCAGTTAATACCAATCGCCTGCTCGATGTATGTGCGCTTTAAAAATTGGGGCTCTTTTGTTATGGAATCCTAAAATGACTCATTTCTTTTTATCCCTTGAAAAGACATGGCTCAAATAAAGCTAACCACAGGAGCAAGCTGCAAGATAACGAAGTCGCCAAGATTCGCAAGGATACAAGAAAAAATTCATTTCATCAAAAACAATCTCTTTTTCAGGAACAAACTAGTTTTTAAAAACTTTAAAAATTGAGCTTTAGAAATAAAAAACTCAAAGTGCTTCCGGTTATCCCTTTTTGCCTTATGCCTTTTTTCTTCACTTCGTGAGTGCGAGCAAGGGTTGGAAAGAAAGAATTAGACGAAATACTCCCAGATAAAATTGTTCGTTATTTTTTATTTCTTATATCTCAACTTTCAACCATTACCAATAATTCCAAAGCCTTGGAAGTAACTGAAAATATCTACTTTCCCACTGTCTTCCATATCCAACTATGAGGACGATGAGTAGTGATGCCCCACCCATCAGAATCCAAATCGAATGTCATCTTATAGCAATTATCAAAATTAGTAAAATATAACTGACATTGGAAACAAATCGACCTGTGATGAACAGGCTGACTCTTCTGATTTTCCCAATGAGCAGCGTTCTGGACATTTTGGGCAGCATTTCTCCTCCAGCAGATTCCACGTTCTCCTGCCTATCAGACCGTGTGCATGCGCATATCGTAACATCGTATCTATTTGCTTTTCCCTACTCAAATATCCATTTCCAATTGCAATACCCTTAAAATCGTGATTTTTCAAGACACGCCAAAATATGTCTAGATTATTTTTTTTTGTATAATTATCAATTAATTTTGGAAAAAGACATGAATTAACTCTTCATTTTAGCTACAGAAACAGAGAAGATTAATGAACGGCACCAATGAAATGATAAAAAGCATATCCATTACTAGTAAACAGAAGCCCGTAGTTTAAAATTTTTTCAATACACTCGTTCTGTCCAAAAAATCAAATCCTCCTCGTATATTGGCTTTCTATGTGAGGCGAAAGCGTTCGGGAATTATCTAATTGGTAGCAAAAGCTAAGAGCAATAACACGCTGGCTAGGCTCTCTGCGGTTCCTTTTTTCGAAAATTGCTTATAAGTAAGCAAGTGATTAGTTTGTCCTTGACATGTGCCAATAGCAATTTATTGCCGAAACAAATGAACAAATTCATGAGGGGCCTATTTTACGAACAGAAGATAAGTGCAAAAAACTGATACAAATGTGTATTATAAGATGCCCTTACCTCAAGCAAAACGGGAAAACCGGATTGTCCAAGCAGAATTAACTCAGCAAGCATTGAAATATAGATAGCCGCGTAGCTTTCACCGGCCAAATACAATGGCCGGCTACGCGTCCATGGGAATTCCTGGTAAAACGCTTTCACTGCCGCGTAATTTTCCCGCGCTGTCTAAAGCACTACTTTTTTTAAAATCATAATAGAATAGCGGCAAAATTTACAGACCTCAAATGTCATTGAACACTGCTTCCAAGCAGTGTAAAAGCTAATCACTTGCAGCCTCTTCAAGTTCAGCTCAATTTTCTCATATTCCAAAGCACTAGTACCTGCTTCTCAGTATTTTCGATTAATTAAAAATCTATTATAATGAAAATGCCGAAGGCATCAAGAAAGAGGTAAAGGGCATTCTTGGATGTTGGCAAATGAAGGACTGAGGAAAAGCATTAAAAAGTTTTTTTGTGTCGGGTAAGCATCCGGTTTTGAGGATGTAAATAGATATAATCAGATACAAGTGATTAAAAGTAAAATAAAAGAAACACGCACATAGTAATAGCACTACGTAAGTAGATTGGAAATAATCAACGACATATTGTATGAACGTAAAAATTTACAACGGTGTGGGAAAGTATATGAATAACAATGTTTGTTAAGCTTGAAAATTGCCATTTTTTTCAACATATCAAGCGCCTTCTTCGGAGAATACAAATAACCTGTTTTCTCCCACACCTAGCCCATGGCTCATTTTATTCTCAAAGTTTTTATCTGGCATTGACGGCTGACCTGGTCGTCGGAATTTTTATTGTTTTCTTCGGCATCGTACGAGAAACCAACACCTACAGGTGATTCAACAAACACTACCGAAGCAACCTAAAAAGATGCTGTTATGTGGATTTAAAGCCGTCAGTCGACTGAGTATCACGCTATGGTAGCATTTGGAATGAAATGGCGTTGCTCAAAACACAGCAAGGCCATCTCAAAACAGATAATTATTGAAAAGTCTGGATTCAATCATAGAGATAAGGCAGTTGCTTTGCTTCGGAAAATTCATTTCTAAAATTTCAGCTTCTTACAACGGTTCTCCTAATTTTTCGAACTACATTCTTCTGACATACATACGCACTAAGTACCTCATATCTGTCTGCACGCTTATCAGAATACATTCACCCAAAAATGCGCATGCAAAGAGACAAACAGACAGTCAAACGCACACATATACACAGACCTGAGCTCACCGTAATATTTTCCTTTTGAAAATAGTGAATGCAGAAGCGCACAAAGGGTAGTACTTAAAAGTTTGTTATCCGTCTTTCAGGATTTGCACACAGATTACTTTGCAGCGCAGCCTAGCAAAAAGCAATGCTGAAAAAAAACCTATGAACAAAAAAAGTACTATTTTAAGAGTTGGTACAGTGAATTAAGACAAGCTGATTTTTTCAAATAGCTGTGTAAGTTAGGGTGAATTTAATCGACAAAAACACGCTTCAAGTTATTTAAACCTGGAAACTCTGAATAAACAATAGCTCAACAGTAGCAAAAACAAAACAGTAAAGAACTTTTGTCCAAGCATGAGCATTGCGGCGCAGTGTTTTTCCGTCGTCATTTACGAGGTAAGGACCGATTTCTCGTAAGAGGCCATACAAAGAAGAGCATCCGGGACCACCGTTGTACCAAAACAATAGTGGGTCTTTGTTTGGATCATGTTCCGATTTAATGAACCTGGGTACTTGTTATCGTTTTCATTAAAATCATTAAAAAATTTATAGTTACAGCGTTTTAAGGACGAAAATAAATAGAAAAATACGAGATCCAGAAAATCGTAAATGGTTTAACGGCTCCACGACTAGCTTATCTGACAGATACTTGGACTGAGGCTACCCATCTGGTGTTCAATGTTAGTAATGTTACTTGTGTGCTTTCAGATATCTACGTCTGACTTTCAATCTTGGGCTGTATACCTTCAGTGAGTACCAGCACCTGTGGTGAACTTTGAGCGGAGCAAAAGCTTATCAAGAATAAGTTGTCCTTGTCATTAAATCAAGTAAAAGAAGGTACGAGTAGCCGACGCAAATCAATCTCGAAAACGGCATCAACTTCGAAAAGAATACAGCCGAGATGCAGGTGAGAGACGAAATGTCGAGGTGGGTACAATCGGGATGCAGACGAAAGTATGTCGAAGAAAATACGGTATGGACTCCAAAAATACCACAGTGGAAAGGGGTGATGGAGGCATAGGAGAAAACAGTTTGATGTGATTCTTGCTCTATGCAGTCTTTATAGTGTATACGTTCCCTCTCTGAAGGTTACCTAAGTAAGCTTTTACTTTATTGCGGTTACCATTCACTAATCTGCTTCAAAATGTACCGTAACGAACTGTAAAAGTATTACCAGTAATGCATAAAACGCGCAGAGGTAACTTGAAGAAATCCAGTAAAATGCTTGAAATCGCTAGTATTAAAATTCGTAACTCCTGGAAGTTTTCTCAGTTGCAGTGAAGTCCCACCACCAGAAATAAGTAAAACATAAGTCAGTTGGAGAAAACCATGCATCGAAGTTTGTTGAAACAACCACTTCTAAATGATGCGAAAGATTTAGTGACAATACTTGTTTCAGGATAATGATAAACTACACAAAAGTGCCCCAAAATAGACATGTAGATTCTTGTAGAATTTTGGTTTGGTACTTTACAGATAGCCTTTCCTCATGGCTGAGAGCCGAGTTTTCGACCCAGCTAGCAAACCCTCCACGATTCCCAACAGTAAATTGGTCCTGACACGTACCAGAAAGTCAAAACTACCACCTGTTTATTTTTTAAGCAATTCTTAAAAAAGATAGCCGGCTTTGCCAGCAGGTAGCTGCTGTTAGCAGTAGTTTCCGTTCGAGCTACTCTCATGTGCTTTCGCTTCTTATGCCAAACACCTTATTTTTCATTTTTAGAAAGAAGAATGCTTAATTCTAATAATTTAATAAAATGCTGTTCGTAGTGTCGCTTCCCAGTAACATAGCTGGCAACTTTTCTAGCTGCTTTGAATAATAGCTGCATCGCCTAGGGGTGACAATCTATTAGCGATCCTGCTATTCGCCTCATTTACTGGGGCGGTTATCAGCTCAATGATTCGCCCAATAGGAATACTTTGGAGGGCTTTAGCGTTTTCGAGATTTTCTTGATGTATGTGCTGAACAATCACCACTTTCATCCTACACGCTGCTATTCAAAGACCACGACATGATTATTCTACTGGGAAATAATGCCTCACAAAATCATTGCTGTAGTGTATATTTCATCGTCCAGAGCAAAACTTCAACGAAACATGTTTTATTACTTCGTAAGAATCAGACCGCTAAACAAATAATAACAGAGTACAATAAATTCATGATTTTATAAATGTTAGATAACGACCAAATCACTTCATGCAAATTTGGTGGACGCTTTCAGATTGGTCGGTTTTCGATGAACTGCTGGATGACGTACTGCATTTGTGGAGCGCGCCACTGCGGTGCCATATGTCCAGCACCACGAACGGTCAGGAATGTTAGACCTTTGTACTGGGTTTTAAAGCCGGCTATTTGACCAGCGAATTTCCATGGCTCCTTTCCCTGTTTCCTCTGAAAAATTGTCATACTTACCGTAATTTGAAATTTGTTTGAAGACTATCCAGAGGAAGTTTTTTCGTCCAGAATTTTGATATATTCTGCCTTTTAGGTTTATACAATTTTCTTCTCTCCATTGAAATTCATTTCAAAATTTCCTTTTTGTTTTACATTGAAATCGTAAGCGGGTATGATGCAGTGGAAAGCTGCACTTTTTTGTTAAAGCATACTAAGGGTTCGATTTCATTATTTAAGGTTTTTGAGAAAATATGAACAAAAAATGAAACAGTTGTAAAGAATTATTAAAGATGGTAAGAAATGTTTCGGTCCATTAAGTCGTATACATTTCTTACCATTGCCACAGTTGGACCTCGT